CGGTACTGTAAATTGCTCTGTTTTGCTAAATTATCACCATTCTTTAAGACTCCTGGGTAGGCTAGGCCATCTTCGACTTACAATATTTTTGACTTACGATGGGGTCATCATAATGCATCTCCATCGTAAGTAGAGGACTACCTGTATAAACACACAATTTCAACCGAGAAGATGGGTACAAACTGAGCAATCATTGGAAGGACGTTATTAACCAGTTTATGTCATAACTGGCTGTGATGTCCCTATCCTACCTAGCAGTTATTTTCGACTCTGAGTTACATTCACTAACACAGCCACCTTTAGCTGTGTTAGTAAATGGCGGCTTGCCATTCTTTTCCACCTCCTTGTGGCCACTGCGCTGTCTTACATTGACATGCTAATCTCTCACAATGCAATGGCCAACCCCCACAGCTCCGTAGTACCTCCCCCACATTGGCATTAGCTGCCCCGCCCATCTTTAAACCATTTGTAAACAGCTCTTTGATTGGTGTAGGCCTACTGCAGGCTACGGAGACCTCTCCCACATTAACATTAGCTGCCCCGCCCATCTATAAACCTTTATCAACAGCCTGCCTCGGCAGATTTTACCCTCTTTTTGTCACCTGAAGACGATTGCTTGTTTTACCTAATAAATGAACTTGAACTTGAACTACCCGGCTTCACCCGAGACTTGGGTTCTTGTCTTGGGTTAATACACGGCCTACGCGGGGGGGGGGGGGGTTGGGGGGGTGCGTGACGTCAGCAGGCACACTGCGTGACGCTGCCGCATGTGGGTGACATCACAGATGTGACGTCACCGCTCACTTGCCATGCAAAATATATCCATTATTGCCCCCCCCCCCGAAATACATAAGTAATTTTTTATACTTTTTGCATTGTGTACAGTTTGGAAGCTACCCACATGCCAAATTTCATGTTTGTTGCATGTTGGGAAGTATGCTAAACATTTCGAACAGACACACATTCACAAATTTACCTTTTATATATATAGAAATTTTTTAATCTACGTGGCTTTACCGAAATATACATCACAATTGTTCAGCACCATAAGCAACAGACTAATCGCCCGTGCCATCTGGCTGGCAACGTGACACAACATTTATCAAATTACCTCCAGCATGATAAACCATCTCTGATTACAACTTGGTTCGTGCAAATCTATTTATAGTTATAAAGCAAGCCTCGTAACGTTGCGTTGCTCTTCGTAAGGAAATGAGAGTCTAAGAGTGTCGTATTAGAGGAGTGTTTTGGGCGTCGTGTTGAACGCAGTACGTGAATGTGCATGACTAGCATTTGATAAGTGTGGAAGGTGTGTCGAGCGTGTTTTCTATGTAACTCGTCGTATGGACGCGATTCGTTATCGTGACCCACCCTTCACAAACGTGCTCTGACCAGTGTGCTGAATTAAGGTCAAACGACCCCCATGACCGGCACGGCTAAGGGAGACCTTCAGCAGTGATTTCATTATGGGCTGTAGTTGACGAATTACAAATGATAACATTATGACCCGGCCAAGCACAACATACCCTTAAGTGGAAGCCCACTTGTGGGGCTCGCACCTGGGCTTCCGGGTATTGGAGCTTATCGTGCAATCCCATCTGGATGGAACCGAGATGAGTGGATTCATCGTGCAGAACGCTCACCGACAGGCGTTAAAGGGACATACCCAGGTGTTAGGAGCCTTATCCGTAGGCGTTGTTTCCACAAAACATGCAGAACGTACAAAATAATTGAACTCATCTAAGGGGCTTTGAAGCTGTGTGTTTGAACTGTGCGAACGTGTTCTCACTTGCAAAACGTGGACCCCACTTTCAAGAGAAAACTACGTATGACCCACACCTTTGAAGCCTAAACGTTAATACTGTACCATCCAGAAGCTGACCTGGTTAACCTGTGTGAGAATCACACAGACGAAGATGCTGCTTTGAGTCTGGGGGGAGGTGCTATTGATGAGTGCTTGTTGAGACGACTCGCAGCATACAAGGGGGTGGTGATATTGACCGCACTGCCCCACGTACTTGGACTCAGTTGACCTCGGGAAGTTTAAATAACACCCGTTTCATAATATATTTTTTACTCATAATAATTCTCACTTTGTTACTTTACAATGTATTTAATTAATATAAAGCTGTGCCACATGCCTCGCTGCTCATCATCTTGCAGCAGTGAATACAAGCAAAAATAGGACATCAATAGCTCTACTCTTTGGTTCTTTCAGTAAAGTCAAGTAGGTAGAAATATTTTATTTTATTTTCTACCTACGTGACTTTACCGAAATAACCATATAATATGGATTCCTGCAGTCACGAAAGCTTCAAATCAAGATCAATAGCTCTGTAAGCTATTGTATCTCTGTAACCTATTGTATCTCTGTAAGCTATTGTGCTAATTAATGCAATAACTCAACACAACAAGTTGTTTCGATTCGCAAACAAGTGTGGGGCAGTGCCCATTTCTGTTGGAGGTCCTAAAACAGTGGTAGAAATTCACATTCTTTGATGGAGGTTCAAGTCTCCCCAACGGACAGCTGGTGTTGACTTAACACGTAGGGTTTCACGACCAATATCATCCATAATATAGGTTTTTTTTAATGTTAGATCGCGTAAATATAAATGTGTTATTAAACCCGCCTACACCCGACACAGCCATTTAGTAAGGTTTGTCATTGTACAAGCATAATATATGTTGATAACCATATGAATAACCCAACCGCCAATGGATACCCATTGTCATTTATATGCATTCATTATCCCCCCTCCCTTGGCACAAGAAGACCTCAAGTGACGTCATCACATCTACCCCTTTATTTAAGAAATGAAACGAGGATTTATCCACAAATATGGCTGTCGCCTGATGAAGCTAGTTGTAATTACTGGTGAAACGTCATACTCAGATTGTAAATGTTGTGGATTTGCTCTCCGACACACCGGTGTGCTGTACTAGTAACGAATTTACATATTCTGTTTACGTGACAAACCTTACTAATTGGCTGTGTCAGATGGTGGTGGGATTAACGACACATTTATATTTACGCGATCTAACCCAAAAAAAACCTATATTATGGATGGTGTTGACTTACAGCAAATTGACTACTGTTTTGGCAAACTCAGAGGCATCACTGTCTGTGTTGCCATGATCAATATTTGAACATGCCACCTTCCAATTCTTAAGTTTAGCAGTCTGAATCTTGACTTAAAGCTTTCGTGACTGCAGGAATTCATACTCTTTGGATCTTTCGGTAAAGTCACGTAGGTAGAAAAATAATAAATCGTCTTCAGGGGAAAAAATTAGCACTCTGCCACAGCACCACCTAGTTGATTTACTGATTTGTTCGTGAAAATTAAACATCAGAAGTGAAAATTAAACATCAGAAGTGCTTGTCAATATGCCATATGCCAGCTAAATATGGATCCATTGGTTGTAGAACAGTGGAGTGTGAAGCACTTTGTAAACGTAAAATGTATTATCCTGCCAACAAAAATCTGTGGATCTTCTTAACGGAGGTGAATAATTAAGAGACGTGTGTGCGTCTTGGTTTTTAGCAAAATGTTTGAAGACGTCTCTACAAAGGTGTTTTCGCAGGGACAAATTGAACTAATTGCAGGACTTGGCCAGCTTTGGATGGTTTTCAAATGGAAATTGAGCTGTGTGCCAATTGGCATGCACACACCAGGGCTTTGACTGTCACTTGTCTACAACGTACATCTGTGAGCTTTGTGAGAAGCATTTCAAAGGGAGTTTCAGCTGCATGTCAAGCTTATACCTGCATCCTGCAAAGTCACACTCTCCCTGCTCAAACCTGCATCTGGCAGTGCTCGTCTTCATTGGTGGCCCGTAGCCAACGGGAATGAATTCCACATTTTAATGGCAAGGACAATTCTCTCTACAGCACAAACAATGTTAACTTTCCACACAGTGGTACTTATTTTATCTACTGCAGAGGGAAATATTGGTTGAACTCTTGATCTCCAAAATGTGTGAGTCAAGTACCCCGCCAGTACCGCTGCCTGACTGAAAACCTGGGTTTTGTTGGTGGTAATTAAATGTTAAATTATAACCACGTGTGTGGTTGTATTTGTCTTCAACAGTGTATAAACCGTTGTTTGTATCTGCAAAGTTATATCGGGTTATTTTCCTATTCCGGGATGTCTTGCGACAGCAGAGCTATGCATCACGGGTTGTACTTGAGCTGGTGCAGCTGAATTCTGCTTGGGTTTATTTAGCAGACAACCACCCTCGATTATAACAGGTTCCCAAGTATCGTCAGTTGATGGTCTCCGCCTGATCATCCATTCTGCCTGGCATTGCACTGAATACTAAAATATACAATTATGACTTATTTCACCTTGAGAGTGTATTGGAATGCCTTGTAGTAATGAGTAAGGCATACTGAATTTAATTAGGTGCAGACGTGTCTCGCTTAATGAAGCCGCGTTATAATAGACATGTTTCACGTTGTGTGAAAAGTGTTCTCGAGTCGAAGAACAGTGTTATGGCGAAAATGCGTTACGAGGACTTGCCGTGTAGGACAACTCTTTGGTCCCCAACCCTGGTTATAAATTGTCACCTTCCATTTGTGAACTACGTGCTATATTCTCACAGCCGGCCTGCTTGACTCTGCATTACATGCCCACTTCATTGCTGGCATGAGTTTCCACTCGAGGAAGCTCCAGAGAGCCATTCTAGAGGATATTTTGGCCTACTCTTACATGCTGGCCATATGTCTGGGTTTACTGGGTTTACCCATACTTCACCCCACGACACACAACCTTGCCAATCAGTTTAACTGAAGCATGTACCAATTTATACTAAAAATAACTCCTCCGACTATCACAGTTGGCTATGTACGGTGTGAAAGAAATTCTACATACAGACCGAATCGAACCAGCAAGTCCAGTGTGCAAGCCGTTACGCCAAGGCAGCGTCCCTGGAAAAATGGGAAAATAGAAAGAACCTTGACTGTTATTCCCTCCCCCACTCTCCGCCGCCCCCTCACCCAGACAAACACACGAGGAAGGTGCGGAAGAAGATCTCGCGCTCCAACGCGCGCAGCTACACGGAGGGCTGGGTGGAGTTCGTGGACAAGAGGAAAGCCAAGCTCGCGGCCATCATGCTCAACAACAACCGCATCACGACGCGCAAGCGCAGCCGCTTCTACGACGACCTGTGGAGCCTTAAGGTGTGGCGATGGCCGTAACGAGACACGGGTAGAGTGGGAGGCATTACAAGGGGGGGAAAGAGGAGGGGTCCGAGATAGTGCTGGATATGTGATGGGTCATACAAAAGCCTGATATGAGCGGTTACTATAAGGGGTGATGCGTAGTTAAAGGCAGTCCTGGATGAAACCTGTTCGTCCTGCAGGCCATGTTCATGGCCATTTCCCATCTACGGAGACATTGTAGCATAGGAGAATAGGAACCGTTCTGAACAGTGCTGGTGTATACGTTTGGTGGTCCGAGAAGTTCCCAAATGGCGTACCGTCATATACTGGCACGTTTAGGCCACTGTTTGAAGGTAAATTGATTTCAAGGATTACCAAAAATCATACGACAGATTTTTATTGCAGCAGTTGAACTTCCTTGCTTGTTAACTGAAAAACGTTTAAATCTGAAAAACCCAGAAATTTGTAGGAACCTATTTTTACCATACTTGACTCCCATTGACTTCCACATTTTTCATTACTGAATCAATTGTGGTTTGTGCAGATTTTTTTGTTACAATGAAGTACTGTGTTTTGTGAATGAGTGGATTTGGGAGCAAAGTTAATTAATTCAATTGTTATTAAAGGGGTGCGACGGTAGTGAGATGTTAACTCCTTTTCCTGGTATACAGGAGGTCGTGAGTTCGATCCCAACCCTGACGCCTGTATATTTTAAGTTTGCATGTTCTCCCCATGGTCGCGTGGATTTTTCTCCGGGTTCTCCGGGTTCTCCATTTTTTCCCTCCACATTTACAAACATACTGTTAGACTATTAGGCTGCTATACATGTCCTTGTTAAAGGCCACTTCATTGAGCTATAATTTGTGGCCAGTCTCTATATAGCTCAGTTGGCCTGACCAGGTAAAATAAATGAGTTCAGTTTAGTAATAGTTTAAATCGTTATTTTTAGAATGAATCAAAGCCTTTGGACAATCAGAGTGCAAGTGCATTGCATAAAATAATATAAATGTGTCAAGTTATGTCATTGCTCTCTTTGTTGTGCCGCTGGAATTATTGGTTACTTGTAGCACAGACGAAGCATGGGGAAACGAGACAAGACAAGAGGGAAACAGCCACTGCCTGGGAACAATGGAACACATCACGGGGCATTCTGGGACAGCACTCAGGGGTGTAGATGGTGGCAGTGGGAAGTAGGCAGTGACAGGAACACTGTCTAAGGAAACACTGCAGGTGGTATGAGGGACACGACAGACAGGAATACTAAGGGGGCTGACATGGCTGTCCTGCAGTTAAATCCAGGGAAACTACAGAGGTACATTTCCGCAGTACTGAGGGATGTAGGGATGCTGGTGACCGGTAGCAGATGGAGGAAGGTGTGGACAGGAACAATAGCAGGAATAGATTGTGCCACACGTGCGGAGCAGGTACATACATTGCAGGGGGAGATACAGACAGGACACAGATAAACTAGGACAGCACTGAGAGATGTAGCAATTCAGATTCTAGGAGTGGGAAGTGGGTGGGTACAGGAACACTATGAAGAGATTGGGACACATTGGTGGCAGAGGGAGACAATGAAGGGGGAAGCAGAGGCTTTTTAAAGAGGGATTACCGTACATGACTGAATGCACGAGAGGGAACATTACATGGGGAGACGACTGCAGGAGAGACGGGGACACTTGAGACACAAAGAGCTGAAGGGTAAGAGGGAGAGAAGTCTGCATGGAGAGCAATGAAGCATTAAGAGATAGCAACACTGCAGGTGAAGCAGACAGCACTGCTCGAGAGAAGTACGAGGGGGGATGCTGGTGAACCCAGAGACACTTTAGGAGGAGATCAGGACACAGGGACAATGCATGGGAAAAGAGAAGGACATGGACACCGCATCCAGAGAAACAGAGAAACTGTATACAGAGATGAGGAGACACAATTGGACATGGAGACCCTGTCGAGGAGGACTGGGACACTACCAGGGGTCGCGGTGGCAAGGCATCGTAGACACAAACGCTCCACCTCACGTCAAGCCCCTCCTGCTCTCTCCACGTCACCCGTTGTTGAGTGTTCAATTTTTCTAAATAAAAAACGAATTTCTTTTGAATTGCTTTTTGTGTTTAGCTAGCACGGTGGACTACGTACGGTGCGAAATAAGTTTAACATACATACCCTCTCTCTCATCTCGCCCGCAGTATCTGCACCGCTTCCGCTGGGCGCACCTGAGCGAGCGGCTGGCGTACGAGCGCACGGTGCGCAACCAGCGTCTGCGCACGGAGATCGCGCAGGCCAAGAAGGAGACGGGCTTCTATGTCGCCAACGTGGAGCGCAGCGCCACGCTCGGGCGCCTAGCCGAGCGACGCAAGAAGCAGGCCGCCACCGCCGCCGCTCGAGACGGTGGGACAACCGCGGGGCAGGCCGCGGGGGAGGTTGAGGAGGAACCCATGTGGGGCTTCCGGCAGCGCAGGACGGAGGGGGAGATCCAGGAGCAGAAGAAAAAGAGGGCGGCCGTGGCTGCGACGGCCTCCTCCAAGAAGGTCCAACGCTCCAAGCAGAAAGCGAGCAGAATCGCGCAGGAGAGCAAGTCCAACCGCGAGCTTCTCGCCAAGATCTTTCAGGGCTCGGTCGATGGGCAGAGCTGAGCCCATGGCTGAAAAGCAGAACTCTTTGTTTAAGTTGTGTGTGTTCAATTTGCCAGTTACATTTTCGAATAAATGACCATTTTAGTACAATGTGTGAACCCATTGTTGAGTCGCTGTCTCACTTGAAATATCTTCATTCACACCTTCGCCATAACGTTAGTTTTCTTTTGTCTGCCGTATTATTCTACCTAATTCCCTCTAAAATGATGAAAGAAACAACGGAGATCGAATGAAACAGTTTTCTATCAACCAGTAAAAATGTATGATTGCAAATGAGCTTAACTGAGTTGGGCTCAACAAAATAATTGTTGGAGGGATACGACTGTAAAATTCAATAGAACGTCCTGAGCCATGGTCAGTCCAGGGTGTTAGTATACTTACGTTAAACCTGGTTGTTGTAGGTCATCACCGATACACACTCCAACTAGGTAACCTTTAAAATCCATCCTGTGTCGGGCACTTAAGGAACAACTCATAAAAAATTTCTGCCAGCGTGGGACTTTTCCCCCTCCCCCATCTCTGGGGTAAGCCCCTCAACCCTAACCTTAGTGGGACCATAATACGGGGCAGTGACGTGGGCCATTTGTTTGGGAGAATTTCGCGGTTTGAATCCGACGACCCGCCCTGCTTCGTGTTGCAGGTGTATTCACCATGCGCCACATAGTGGACGTGAATTAATCTGGCGGTGATGTCATTCGAACAATTGGGACACTGCGCCTGCGTCATGGTGCAAATTTGCCAAGAATGTTCTCGTTTTTAATTTGGGTTCTGAAAAATCCCACGCTGTCGACTACTTGAGAATGTACTACTATACTATTATCACTTGAGAATGTCTTTATCGACCACTTTAGAGTGATCGATTGCGTATTGATAATTTAGCTGCAGACTTTACCAAGAAAACATATCGCGATGACACTTATTCGTCTTGTAAAAAGAAAACTGGCTTTAATGATTTTGTATTAAATTTCCATATTTGAGATATTTACTATCTGTCCCAATTATATAGATATACGCATGATGTGACAGCTGTTAATAATTTAAATATGATTCTGTGCTTTTCAAGCTAGTACAGTATAGGTGGGCAGGTGTAAAAGCCATTGACTGATGCACATTGATCTGCTTGGCTTGTGAAAACACGTGCATAAAAAATTGCAAGTAACAAAAATATATATATTTGCCCCCTTTTTATCTGCATATCCTTTTAAGATATTGACCGCTCGTGCGATATGTTGCCAAGTAATTTCGTGAAATGTGCAGGGTTATCCAAATGGTGTGGGCTTACTAACACATTCATTACATCGTATCGATTTGTGGCATTGATCCACGCTCAGACCGTCTGCTCTGAGCACACATTTAAGCTCCGTCCATTGGGGATGTATGTCCATCATTGCGAGACTTCTCAATATAGAGCACGGCTAAACAATTCTCATTGGAGCTGGCTCGGTAGCCCCTCGAGCTGTTTCTCACATCACAGCAGTGAGTCTGGGTTTCAAGTCACTGGACAGCCGAGATAAAAGGCTCTCGGTTGTATTGAATTGATGGTCTCAGCACAGCAACCAACAGCAAGCCAAGCTCTGAGTTGTCTCAGCATATAGGCAGAGAGAAAACGAGTTGCTCATTTACACATCTAAAGAATTCACAGACGTGGTTGAATAAAATAGATCCTTAACACCCTGGTAAAGAATTCCAGTGTCGTGGTCCAATTAAGTTTTATCCTCCCAGACCAGGGGTCGGTAACCAAAATAACAAGAAGAGCCATTTCTTTCCAATTCGGTACAAAATTCAGTATTTCAAGAGCCGCATGCGGCTCCAGAGCCGTAGGTTGCCGACCCCTGTCCCAGACCAATTCAAGGCAAGTTTGTTTCATTCTAACCATCTTTCATATAACCCTTCATTTTTGTTTAGTTTTAGATTTAAATTTAATTTCACGTTATTAGCGTGAGGCCCAAATCACGGCCTTTGTCCTGATTTGCCCACACCACCGTTTTACATGTCACGTTGCTGTAAATGTCTTATAAATCCTCTGCAAAGCAATACAGTCACCTCCAATTATTCTCAAAGTTACGTTTTTCAGAATGAATCCCTTATGCTGGGTGAACTCTGCAAACCACAACACGCGGGAGCAGTTCCATCAGGATTACGTGGCCGAGACAGCGGCCCTCAAATCTGCTACTTCATCTTGCCCCAAAATAAGATTGATTCCATCACGGCCGCGATTGAGAAGCACTCAGCGGAGATCGTGGAACTTCATGAAATGATTGATTGTGGAGATTCAATAAGGCTCTGGAGAGATGCCCTGGAAGCTGCTGACGAAGCTGTCAACGGACTGGATCCAACTCGTCCAAGGTCCAACGTATATCAAAAGGCACATCTCGACTATTTCAGATTTATCCTGGAGGAATCCGATGAGCTATGAAGCTCTTTTTAACAGCTATCCAGTCGACTTGTCCTTTTCCATCATTACGTGTCATCACATGATAGAAATACCTTTTGCGGCACACGAAGATGCCACGATTATTGTAATCAATTTGTTTTCCATAGAGCTTCCTTTATGTCCGGAGCAACTCAAGAATGCTTTTACATGCAACCGTGCAGAGAAGTGGATGTCCCCCTTTGCCACTTTCTGAGAACATCTCAGGAAGACGAATCGCCAAGGTTTAGATCGAGGACAAACACCGTCCCACAAACTCGCCTACGCACGCTGGTGTAGCCGGTGTGAGCGTATAATTGTGCACTCCGTAGTCTATGGGAACCGAATAAATCATTTTGCACAGCTCCGGGTAACCAGGTGCGTTGTTTTTTTATTGTAAGTCGAAGTTAATTTCAATGGTGATCAGAGATTGGACCCGAGCCCCCCACAACAGAGTAAGAGGCACGTCCCAGGTTGAGATTTGTGAAGACTTGGTGCCTGCGGAATAGAGCTGCGGTGTTGTGACGATGAGGGCGTCTCTGATCGCCATCGTAGAAACGCAATTTGCCCCTAATGAAGAAGACTTTTGAAATAAAGTTGCCCAGTACGAACGGAATGGTGGGAGGGGGGGGACACACAATTGACCACAAAAAAAGACCTCAATCGACCACCACCGAGAATGGCTTCCCGTCCTCCTGTTGTGGATTCGACCGCAGAACGCAACGCAGTCTCCACTCATCGTGTCCGAACTTTCTTTATTTTTATCGTCGTTGTCGTTGCTATCTATCGCAGCCGACCTATCGTCGTTCCCCCCATCCCCCCACCTAGAAAGGATTCATGAGTCAGGGGACAGGGCGGACGGGCTACACGGGGGAAGCACCCGCTCCTGCACGGTGTCCTCCACGTGGCCAGCGTGGAGTCGCAGCGCCCGGTAATGAAAGCCCCCCTCCCCCTGCCCCCCGGGGCATGCAGCCTTGGCGGCACCTCTCAGAATCATCGCCCACACCGCGTGCACTCGAGCAGCCCCCCGCATCGACGACGGGAATGCGACCCCGGACTGCCGATTGGCGGTGATCACGAACTGCCCTCCCGTTATTCGTCTGCAATCCCATCCCAGCTTCGTGGTCAGTAACTCAAAACGCCGAGCGCAGTGTGAACGGAGCGGTGGGGGGCACACAAGTGAACAACATTGGGGGGGACCAAATCTTACAGGGGTTCTGGGGTCCCCCCCCCACAAAAAAAACTAAATTTGAAAACGAATTTCCTGCCAATTCCTGCCTAAAATATATATTTTTTAAATCACCAACACATAGGATGGACTTATTTATTTTTTACAATAATGTCTAATAGTGTATTGTATTACATTCCTCTGTTTTTTTCTTTTTTTAAATCCTTTATATTAAGTTCGCTTGCTTGCTTGCGTGCTTGCGTGCTTGCTTGCTTGCTTACAACCGTGCAAATCTTTCGGTCGTTTTTTAACCCACTTCCCGTGATCCAATCGAGCTGACATTTTCCACACAGACTCGTTGTGTGTGACAATTAATTTTCGTGAAATTTTTTTTCCCAAATTTTACACTGTTTAGGGAATTTTTAAAATATTTAATTACCAATTGCTTAATGCTGGCAGACCTTCATCTGACCCATAGGTGGCAGCCATCTCAAACCAGAGGACGAGAGGACTCTAGCCGCCACGCATATAAAGGATTTCTAGTGAAAAACTTTGTTTTTACGGGTTAATTTTTTACCTTTTCTTGTTTCATTGTATGTAATGGCAGAGATTAGGGATTAATAAAGTACAACCATAACCACAATCAAATAAACAGAAATCTATTTTATAGCTATATATTGGGGGGGACATTTTGAGCATATTTGAATATTGGGGGGGGAATGTGCCCCCCCAATATATATTATAATTACCGTCTTGCAAGTGAGCAACAAGGACCTCATGATCTATGCCCCACCGAACGCCTTGCTGGCTTCCCCGCACGCAAACCATGGACCACGGTGAAATGCCGAAATTCGGATATCACGCAGGCGATTGGCTCATCGACACGAGTGGCGGGGGGGGGGGGTAAAAGAGAGGTCCACCTGTGAGGGTAGAGCAGAGCTATTCAGCACGTGGTCAACAACTGCCCATCAAAACCAAAGAGATGCATCAGCTTATAGCCAACCCCATTTAATGACTCAAGAACCCAAGACATTAAGGGGCCGTCCATAAATGACGTCACGCGATCTTGGACGATTTTTGACCCCCCCCCCTCCTCGTCACACGGCGTCACAAAAAGTCAGACCCCCCCCCTCAAATATGACGTCACAAAGCTCTGCCCTCCCCCCTAAAACATGCTTCAAATCGCTTTAAACTATTGTCATTGTAGTGCGTATTTAATGTGGCGCTGCACTCTGATGTTGTAGGAGAGTTATTCTAACAATTATATATTTATTTAAAGTCGCGCATTTTTATGTGACGTCACATTTCTCAACCCCACCCCCCTCGTCACACATCACAAATGTCTGACCCCCCCCCCGTAGGTGCGTGACGTCATTTATGGACGGCCCCTAAGTTGTAACATCTGAATTAGAATACGTATTTATACAGGAGAAATCCGATGAGCTATAAAGCTTTTTTATTCACAGATGTCCAGTAGGGGCAGGTCAGAACCTTACAACATCAAACAATCCAAAAACAGGACAGGAGCGCAGAGTATAGGCAAGATAAATAAATTACTTTATAACTCATCGGATTCCTCCTGTAAATAAATATTCCCATTCTGATTCTTCCCAGGAGTGTTGGGCATAGCCCTGCTGGTCCAAGTAATTTATCAGCACGATGTCACAGGTGGGCAAATGCAAACACGCCAACGTTGGGCCAACGCTGGGATGAGGTTAAAGTTGTTGACCAACTTTGGCCCAACGTTTCCATATTTACTGCGATGTTACTCCTCCAATTGATATTTGCAGTGTGTTTATGTGTTTATGGACTCGAGTTCAATCATGTGACGTGACAATAGCTGCTATCTTTTAACCTTTCCTACCCCAGTTCAGTATTTCCCATTGTGATAAGTACTTTTGTTAAAGGATAGTCTGGAAAGGTGACATATGGGAGTGATTCCACTGCAAAGCAGATTCCAAAATATTTATGCTGTGTTATGTAGTGATGAGGCTATTTGTCAACTACAGTTACGATCAAATTGAGTATATGGAAAGAGGGAACGATGCGAATATGTTTAAAAGTAACCGGTGGTGATAACCAGAAGAGGCCAAGAAACTTGCCGTACAATGTCCACCAGATGGGTGTCTAACTCACATTAGCAATTCAGACAGCCGCAGCGCGCTCTAACCACTGAGCCTCCAACTCCACTCTGAAACATCACATTTAATTGTACGTATTAAATTGCAGGGCTGCAACGATTCCCAGAATAGTAGAATTGTTACTTTGCAGTGAATTGTTCATCCAACGTCAATCCACTGCTGCATGAAGGCCCTCCCGTGTCGATTCCTGGTGCGTTATTTTACCAAACTTGACCACCGATGGTCCGGTGTGAGTGGGTTCATGAACGGGGGATCCGGCTAGGACCAGGCCTGGTGTAGCGAGTCGATCTTCACGAGACACTGTGGATGGAGTAGTAGCAGTGACCACCTTCATCGTCCGAGCACAGCAGACACTGATCACTGTGCTGGTGGTCACTGTCATGTCCTCATCCATCACCTCCTCCTCCCCACCATCAACTTCTTTGTCATCTCTGCTAAAATCACACACATTGATCAGACCCTGATGATCCCTGAGGTGTTGGTGATTGCCGACCACCATTAGAGGTCGACTTAAAAACGTCCCGAGTAGACGTAGTCACAAAACTTCAAGCTTGTTAAAACATTTATACTGTCATAAAAATAAACACGAAATGCGGGGGCGAGGGATTCCATTGCTACTGCCTTGTATCCACAAACTGGTTCCTAAGCACACGCTCCTGCACGGTGTCCTCCACGTGGGCCGCCGCGTAGAGCACGCGGCCAGCGTGGAGTCGCAGCGCCCGGTAATGAAAGCCCCCCTCCCCCTGCCCCCCGGGGCATGCAGCCTTGGCGGCACCTCTCAGAATCATCGCCCACACCGCGTGCACTCGAGCAGCCCCCCGCATCGACGACGGGAATGCGACCCCGGACTGCCGATTGGCGGTGATCACGAACTGCCCTCCCGTTATTCGTCTGCAATCCCATCCCAGCTTCGTGGTCAGTAACTCAAAACGCCGAGCGCAGTGTGAACGGAGCGGTGGGGGGCACACAAGTGAACAACATTGGGGGGGACCAAATCTTACAGGGGTTCTGGGGTCCCCCCCCCCCACAAAAAAACTAAATTTGAAAACGAATTTCCTGCCAATTCCTGCCTAAAATATATATTTTTTAAATCACCAACACATAGGATGGACTTATTTATTTTTTACAATAATGTCTAATAGTGTATTGTATTACATTCCTCTGTTTTTTTCTTTTTTTAAATCCTTTATATTAAGTTCGCTTGCTTGCTTGCGTGCTTGCGTGCTTGCTTGCTTGCTTACAACCGTGCAAATCTTTCGGTCGTTTTTTAACCCACTTCCCGTGATCCAATCGAGCTGACATTTTCCACACAGACTCGTTGTGTGTGACAATTAATTTTCGTGAAATTTTTTTTCCCAAATTTTACACTGTTTAGGGAATTTTTAAAATATTTAATTACCAATTGCTTAATGCTGGCAGACCTTCATCTGACCCATAGGTGGCAGCCATCTCAAACCAGAGGACGAGAGGACTCTAGCCGCCACGCATATAAAGGATTTCTAGTGAAAAACTTTGTTTTTACGGGTTAATTTTTTACCTTTTCTTGTTTCATTGTATGTAATGGCAGAGATTAGGGATTAATAAAGTACAACCATAACCACAATCAAATAAACAGAAATCTATTTTATAGCTATATATTGGGGGGGACATTTTGAGCATATTTGAATATTGGGGGGGGAATGTGCCCCCCCAATATATATTATAATTACCGTCTTGCAAGTGAGCAACAAGGACCTCATGATCTATGCCCCACCGAACGCCTTGCTGGCTTCCCCGCACGCAAACCATGGACCACGGTGAAATGCCGAAATTCGGATATCACGCAGGCGATTGGCTCATCGACACGAGTGGCGGGGGGGGGGTAAAAGAGAGGTCCACCTGTGAGGGTAGAGCAGAGCTATTCAGCACGTGGTCAACAACTGCCCATCAAAACCAAAGAGATGCATCAGCTTATAGCCAACCCCATTTAATGACTCAAGAACCCAAGACATTAAGGGGCCGTCCATAAATGACGTCACGCGATCTTGGACGATTTTTGACCCCCCCCCCCTCCTCGTCACACGGCGTCACAAAAAGTCAGACCCCCCCCCTCAAATATGACGTCACAAAGCTCTGCCCTCCCCCCTAAAACATGCTTCAAATCGCTTTAAACTATTGTCA